AGGAATAGTTAATGAAGCCTTGCTCTTGTGGAAACTGTCACAGATCACACAGTGGCTGCATTTTACATCTCATATAATGATGCTTCTACAAGGCTGAATGAGAGCATTGCTATTTTCCTGGCTCACACAACAGGCTCATGCTGTCATGACAATTACCTAAATGCTATCATGATAATATCAACAGCTGCAGTACAATGTTTCCTGAAAGCTGAATTTTTTTCCCTTCCAAAATCTCAATAATTTTAATCCTTGAAATTCTTCAATAACTATGCAAAGTTGATCTAAAGAATTGGTAATCTCTTTTCTTTTCTTAACTAGACAGATTGCCATATTAAGATACAATTTATCTTTTTACTTAAAATTTATTCCTCCTTGTGAATGGTGACTGACATGATGTTGTTTATTATATTTTTAGTAAATAAAATGAATAATACTGAAGTCGAAATAACAATGAAAAGTTTGATCAATTTTCTCAAAGTTATAGATACTCCAATTTGAGAAGACAAATCTGAATACTTTAAGCATTAGCTGGCATCTTGCGGTCAATGGCTACCTTTACGTGTGCCAGTGTTTATGTAAACATGTAAGAACTTGCCTATAGAGGTTTCATATCTGGTAGGAAGGTGTTCTGTCCCTTTTCTCTCTCAAGTGATTACAACCATAACTGAGAGCTGAGAGGCAGCAGTTCCTAGTGAACCTGTATTTTTATTTAAAAATCTCACTTTGGGGAGGTTTACAATATCAAGAGGATTATGTAAAGCTTCAACTATCAAGGAGCACTTAGAGCCATCAAAATGAACACCATAAAAAGTTCAATGACCTTGAGGGTTCCTGAAATGACTTTACTATGTTTTCACAACTGGGCTCAAGCATTTGTTGCTGCTTTTTAATATAGTGTTTTTCTTCTTTCATTTTACTTGCCCTCAGGATGTTGGTTACTTTTCTTTTGATAAGGTGTTCCTTGGGATCTCTCTAATCTCAGGTAACATAAAAAATGATCAGCTATGGCCTGGTGGCTCAGTTGGCTGGAGTGTCATCCTGTAGAACAGGGGGTTGTGGGTTCAATCCCTGGTGAAGGCATGTGCCTAGGTTGCGGGTTTGATCCCTGGTCGGGGCACGTGCTAGGGGCGACAAATCTATGTTTCTCTCTCACATTGCTGTTTCTCTCTCTCTCTCTCTCTCTCTCAAAAAAAAAAAAAAAAAAAAAAAAAAAAAAAAAAA